GCTTTGGGTCAAGCTCAGTCCCATTTGCCCTGCCGTCTTCGGAATACGTGTATTCAGCTGCACTTACTGGCTTTTACACCGGATAGGAAGTCCTGACGTGCTATATTTCTCTCTTCTTTTGAGATACGCCCTCGGCGCTCCCATTTGGTACACCTCCAGCGCTATCCATCACAACATATTCGGTACTACATGAAAGCATCCACGAGTCTACCACACCGGTCGAAGATAGCATGATAATGAGTAATTGTACCTGGTCTCCTCGGCAGGTTGAACTGGATCTGGAGTTGCTTTCGATCTGATAACCAGATTTGGGACCTCATGCACCTGGTGACCATCATTTGTTCCCACTAAGACATATATGTTACAGAGATTACGGAAAAAGGCACTGTTTCATATGTAAGGAGAACCGTAGTGCCATTTCCGACACATAAACACGGATTTTTTATGCGAAATTCCGACACAAACTTTTCAGATAGTTCACGGCGGTGTCGCTTCATTTGTTAATACCTTGTCCGTGGAACAGTGATGTAATGCTTTATCGATGTGAATTCCTGACATTTGGCGATCTTTTTAGAGTTTGTTCTGTCTCTATACACGTGGGCTGGCCTTCGGGCCACGCTTAGGTCCCATTTGCCCTGTCGTCTTCGAAATACACGTAGTCAACCTCACTTATGCCTTCCACCCTACGGGAAGCCTCGAGACGCTATAATGGGAATAAGGTGAAACCAACTGCAGGCGTCAGTGTATATCCTTTCGTCGTGAAGACAGCGATTCTCTATCACCGAGGACATGCCCCTCCTCCACACCGTAGGTACATGCAAAAAGCAGTACGTGCTAGTAGAGGTCATTGGAAAATGTTCGGTTCGCTTTCCGGTGAGTGAGGCTAATACATGTATTCCGAAGGGGACAGAGCAAATGGACCTAAACATGGCCCGAAGGCCGGCTCACCAATACGAGGGCCAGAAAATCTTGAAATGACCGCCAAACGTCAGGTAGTCGCGTAAACGATGCCTTACAGCTAGGTCCAGCTCAGGTAATCTACTCTATCTCTACTTCTCTTGACTGAATCTAAGTGGTAATGTTCATTAAGTCACCGTCGAACTAATCTTCTACGAAGGCTGAGATGAACCACCCAGTCGAAAGGCAGGTACCCGAAGTGTACCTGGAAAAGGAGTTTTTTGGTCTCTACAAATAAAATTTATATGTGATTGGAAAACTGATTAAAATTACACTGGTCTGAGAAGTAAGCCTTTCTTAACGTCTTGGTCCTCTCTGAGCCTTAGTCCACCACTGTTTGCTATGAATTATGTTGGGCTAACAGGGTGAAGCAACTAAAGCTCCTAATTAA